GGTAACAAAGCAAACTTCCACAGATACAAAAAAATATTAGTAACCACCTGTGTCTTGTCAGATCACCATGGATTAAAATTAGAATTCAACAACAATGCTAACCCCAGGAAGTCAACAAACTCATGGAAGTTGAACAGTCAACTACTAAATCACCCCTGGGTCAAGGACGAAATTAAGAAAGAAATTAAAGACTTCCTTGAATTTAATGAAAATAAAGACACAACATACTCACACCTATGGGACACTATGAAAGCAGTGCTAAGAGGAAAGTTCATAGCAATAGGTGCCCAAATAAAGAAAACGGAGAAAGCACACATTGGAGACCTAACAGCACACTTGAAAGCTCTAGAAAAAAAAGAAGCTGATTCACCGAGGAGGAGTAGAAGACTGGAAATAATCAAACTGAGGGCTGAAATCAACAAAATAGAAACAGAGAAAACAATCCAAAGAATCAATGAATCAAAAAGCTGGTTCTTGGAGAAAATCAACAAGATTGACAAACCCCTATCCAAACTAATCAAACGGCAGAGAGAGAACGTGCAAATTAATAGGATCAGAAATGAAAAGGGGGACATAACCACAGACACAGAGGAAATTCAGAGAATCATTAGATCTTACTACGAAAGTTTATATGCCACAAAGTTGGAAAATGTAAAAGAAATGGACTTTTTTTAGATAAGTACCATATACCAAAGTTGAACCAAGAACAGGTGAACAATCTAAATAGACCTGTTAGTCGCGAAGAATTAGAAGCAGTTATCAAAAATCTCCCTACCAAAAAAAGCCCAGGACCAGATGGTTTCAATGCAGAATTCTACCAGAACTTCCAGGAAGAGCTAATACCTATACTCCTTAACGTATTCCACAATATAGAAACAGAAGAGTCATTGCCTAACTCCTTTTATGAAGCTACAGTTACCCTAATACCAAAACCACACAAAGACACAACCAAGAAAGAGAATTACAGGCCAATCTCACTCATGAACATTGACGCGAAAATTCTCAATAAAATACTGGCAAACCGAATCCAAGAGCACATTAGAAAAATTATCCATTATGATCAAGTAGGCTTCATTCCAGAGAGGCAGGGCTGGTTCAACATTCGCAAATCTATCAATGTAATCCATCATATAAATAAACTGAAAGAAAAAAACCATATGATCATCTCACTAGATGCTGAAAAAGCATTTGACAAAATTCAACACCCATTTATGATAAAGGTGTTGGAGAGACTGGGGATACAAGGATCATACCTAAATATAATAAAAGCAATATACAGCAAGCCGACAGCTAACATCAAACTGAATGGAGAGAAACTCAAAGCCTTTCCACTAAAATCAGGAACGCGACAAGGCTGTCCCCTCTCTCCATACCTCTTCAATATAGTGCTTGAAGTTCTAGCAATAGCAATAAGACAACATAAGGAGATCAAGGGGATTCGTATTGGAAAGGATGAAGTCAAACTTTCGTTATTTGCTGACGATATGATAGTTTACATAAGTGACCCCAAAAACTCTACCAAAGAACTCCTACAGCTGATAAACACCTTTAGTAACGTGGCAGGATACAAGATCAACTCCAAAAATTCAGTGGCCTTCCTATACACAAAGGATAAAGAAGCAGAGAGGGAAATCAGAGAAACATCATGATAGCCACAAATAGCATAAAATATCTTGGGGTTACTCTAACCAAGGAAGTGAAAGACCTATTTGACAAAAACTTTAAGTCCTTGAAGAAAGAAATTGAGGAGGATACCAGAAAATGGAAAGACCTTCCCTGCTCTTGGATTGGGAGAATCAACATAGTAAAAATGGCAATTCTACCAAAAGCAATCTATAGATTCAATGCAATCCCCATCAAAATCCCATCAAACTTCTTCACAGACCTTGAGAGAACAATAATCAAGTTTATATGGCAAAACAAAAAACCCAGGATAGCCAAAACAATCTTATACAATAAAGGAACTTCAGGAGGCATTACCATCCCTGACTTCAAACTCTATTATAGAGCTACAGTATTGAAAACAGCTTGGTATTGGCATAAGAACAGAGAAATCGACCTTTGGAATCGAATAGAAGACCCGGATATTAACCCACAAACCTATGAGCACCTAATTTTTGAAAAGGGAGCTAAAGGTATACAATGGAAGAAGGAAAGCATCTTTAACAAATGGTGCTGGCATAACTGGATGTCAACCTGTAAAAAAATGAAAGTAGATCCATATCTATCACCATGCACAAAAATCAAGTCCAAATGGATTAAAGACATCAACATTAATCCGTCCACTTTGAACCTGATAGAAGAGAAAGTGGGAAGTAGTCTACAAGATATAGGCACAGGAGCCCTCTTCCTAAGTAGGACCCCAGCAGCACAGACAACAAGAGAAACAATGAATAAATGGGATCTACTGAAACTGAGAAGCTTCTGTAAAGCAAAGGACACTGTCAGTAGGACAAAAAGGCTGCCTTCTGACTAGGAGAAGATCTTCACCAACCCCTCATCAGACAAAGGACTGATCTCCAAAATATACAAAGAACTCAAGAAACTAGGCACTAAAACTCTAATTAACCCAATTAAAAAATGGGGTACTGAACTTAACAGAGAATTCACAACAGATGAACTTCGAATGGCCAGAAGACACTTAAGGTCATGCTCAACCTCCTTAGCGATCAGGGAAATGCAAATCAAAACCACTTTGAGATACCATCTTACACCTGTCAGAATAGCTAAAGTCAAAAACACCAACGATAGCCTATGCTGGAGAGGATGTGGGGTGAGGGGAACACTCATCCATTGTTGGTGGGAATGCAAACTCGTGCAGCCACTGTGGAAATCAGTGTGGCGGTTTCTCAGGAAACTGGGAGTCAACCTCCCTCAGGACCCAGCAATTCCACTCTTGGGAATATACCCTAAAGATTCCCTAACATACTACAAAAGCATTTGTTCTACTATGTTCATAGCAGCACTATTTGTAATAGCCAGAACCTGGAAACAGCCTAGGTGCCCCTCAATAGAAGAATGGTTAAAAAAGGTGTGGAACATATACACATTAGAGTTTTACTCAGCGGTAAAAAACAATGACATCTTGAATTTTGCATGCAAATGGATGGAAATAGAAAACGCTTTACTGAGTGAGGTGAGCCAGACCCAAAAAGAGGAACACGGTATGTATTCACTCATAAGTGGATTCTAACCATAATTAAAGGTCTTTGAGCCTATTATTCGTGATCCTAGAGAAGCTAAATAAGAAGATGAACCTGATGAAGATTATTTACCTATCCACCAGGAGGTAGGAAATAGACAAGAGTCCCAGGTAACCTCGGGTGCATGGGGGGGATGGGAGGGTTGATGGAAGGGGAGAGGGTTAGAGAGAAGGGAGTAGGGGAGGAATGGGGAAAGCTCGTTGGCCTGGGATGGGGGGGAGGGAGGGAGGATGAATATGGGATCAGGGAAGAATATTTTTCAACTAAGGGAGTCATTTTAGGGTTTACAGGAGACTTGATTATATATGGGATCCCAGGTCCAAGGAGAGATCCCCCAGATTGTTCTCTGGACAGAGGAGAGGGTGCCTGAATCGGCCGTGGCCCATGACCATACTGATGTATATTTTGCTTGTCACCATAGATCCTTCATCTGGCGAAGGACGGCGATAAAGTCGGAAACCCACATTGGAGCACCGGACTGAGCCCCCCGAGGTCCAAATGAGGAACAGAAGGAGGAAGTACATGAAAAACGAAATCAGTACTGCGAGGGATGCTATCACCCACTGATACAATGGAACGGATCTAATGAGAGTTTACCAAGGCCAGTTGGACTGGGACTGAACGAGGAAGTGATATAACCAGATTCTCAGAATTTGACCGGATTCTCTGAATGTGGCTGGCCCGGAGTCTTTCTGAAAAGCCATTGACTATGACACTGGGACCTGTTTCCTCTACATATTCTGGATTTTGGGGATCAAGTCAGTTTGGACACTCACCTCCTGGACCTGGAGGGGGGGGAGGAACTTGAACTTCCCACAGGGCAGGAAACCCTGACTGCCCTAAGGGATGAAGAGGGAGGAGGAGAGGGAGTGGGGGGAGTGGGAGGGTGTTGGGAAGAGGGCCGGAAATGGAAACTTTTATAATTTAATAAAACTTACTAAAAAAAAAGTCAAACTATTGAATTAGCCTATTTTGTTATCTACTAACATGAGATTCCTGTAATTAGTGCCCTAGAATCTTCATTCATTCATACACAGATGTTTGAGCCTTTTACAGTTGCTAAAACATCCCAAAACAGTGAGGGCAATTCTGTCCTCCCAAAGTCCTACTTGCAATGGACCTGATGGCAGACAGCAATCTAAAAGGTGAATTAAGAGGTTGACTCAAACCAAAAAGGGAACATGGAAGAAAATGAGAAATGAGGGTTGGAGAGATGTCCCAATGTTTAATAGTGCATGTTTTTCTTCCAGAGTACCTGAGTTCAGTTCCTAGGACCTATGTGAAGAGGATTCAAAACCTCACCTAAAACTAGCTTTGGGTGATTCTCTACAGTCCCCGGGCATCCACTAATCACCAGGGCATCTCCTTCTGAAATTCTACATGGAGAACCCTGGTACAACATTGCTCAGGCTATTAACCAACTGTTCTGAGGGGTTTATGAGGTATCATAGGACAGTCAGGATCCCTAAAGGAAGGGGCAGAGACCATGGGTTCTCCTGATGACTCTATGTCCTCAAGTATTAAGTCTAGCAAATTCTTTCCTGCAGGCAAGTAGTAACAGATGGTGCTGATCTGGACAGATGTCCTGTCCCAGTGTCAGGGCCTTATTCATACTTGAAGCTACACTATCATCATGGTAATATTTACTAACAATGTGTGTTATCACTGGAAAGGAGACAAGAAAATAGAGTGTGTACACCTGTCTCACAGGTCATGGGTGATGATAGACAAGCTGTCTGTGTACAAGCACGTATCCAATGTCTTCACCTTGGAGGCCTTCTCAGGTGTATGTGGAGCATGAGTGGCTGTTTTGCAGAGAAGTCAATCTTGACCTTGGCCATTGGAAACTTGAGGAGAAGTCTATTCTATGAAGTGAAAGCAAATGGAGAGTTTGATTTTATTCTAGATCTAAACTATCCACCTCTGGATAATATTTGCCAAATCTCAGGACTTCAAAGCCCACCTATTGTACAGAGAATCATGTGTTTTCAGGTATGATGCCATCACGTCTTTAGAAAGGCAAAGGACAGGCACTGGTTTGTTCCTTCCTAAAGATCCCTCATCAAACACAGGGCTCTCTCTGTTCAGAGAGTCATTGATTTCAAATACTTTAACATCTTTCTTTCATCATACCTCATTGTACTCTTTAGAGAAACAATTTTTTTGGGGATTAGTCTTAGATACTGCATATTACTAACAATTGTCTCATATGTAGATAAGTTTGAATCCCATATCCCCAACCCAAATCTGCTAATTACACTTGTCCCTTCCAGCAAGATTTGGAGCAAGTTCTTGCTCATTTCCTTCTACCAGCCAGCTCTGCCTCTGAAAACATACACCTGGGAGTGCTGGGGAGATGACTCAAAGGGTAGGAGTACTGATTGCTCTTGTAGAGGACACAGGTTCTATTCTCAGAATACCCATGGCACCTCATAAGCAGTGTGTAATTTCATTTCTAGGGCATTCAAGTACACATTCATGTTTCTGTGGATGCCAGACATTCTTGTGGTTTACAGATATACATGTAGTAAACAGTCATACACACAATAAGAAAGAAGAATAAAAGGAAGAAAGGAAGAAAGAAAGGAAGCAAGAAAGAAAAGGAAGGGAGGAATCAGCCATCTGAATGTCAAGAAATATTTCTCTATCATCCTTTAGTGTGCAAAAGATCAAATTATAGATCAAGACAATAGTACTGCTTCAAACTCACATATAGCCCATATTCTTGCCTGAGACTCATCCTTTGCCTTTTGGGGACATACACCTCCTCTTAATCATCATCAAACACCTGGGAATGTTGTCACAAGTTATAGTTCATCCTGTATAGTTATCTCAATGACAGGACTACCCCTGGTCTTTTGTGTGAGATTTCTGCCATACATCAAGTCCTGAGGAAAGTCTGTGTGTGCTTATCTCAGATGCTCAATGGGGACGTCTTATTCTGTCTAATATGTATCATTTCCTTGAACAGAAGTGCCTTGGAGGACAGTGTCCAAGGCTCATTGTTGACCTTCAGTAGAACAGGATGGTCAAAGCACTCCTTGGTGTGAGGCAGGCAGTGTGTCAGTGAGGTCCAAAAGAGACAATGGCCATCTAACTCTAGATGTTAGGTATATATCACCAAACTCTGCAACTCAGCTCACACATGACAAGGATAGTTCTTCCCACACAGCACAGGAGACACATCATCTCTGAGTAATAAGGTCCTTTAGCATCTGACTGTGAGTCATATTTTGCTTGGTTATCTAAGGACATGAATTGTGAGTTGAGCTTAGAAATACAAACACTGATAGAAAGAAAACCAGCCCACAAATCACAGTCCCAGAGAACCTAGACAACAATGAAGACCCTAAGAAAGATATACAGAAATCTAATTTACATTGGTAGTAGAAAAAGGCAATATCTCTCCTGAGTCAATTGGGAGCATGGGGACCTTGGAATAGGCTTGAAGACGGAGAGACAGGTAGGGGAGCATTGAAAGTGTAGAAAACAATAAAAATCAAAAAAGAAAAAAGGTTTTGGTAGGGTCAGTACTGCTACCCAAGTTCACCATCACAAACAACAACTCTAACCACATTGAGGGTGAGGATGGTATCTTAAAAGCATGGACATAAGGATGAGAATACAATGTACTCATTGAGGAAAAATAGTGAAAGACTGTAATAAGGAGTTATGTTTAACTGTCAGAAAGAAATTGAACTGTCACTGTACTGAATACCATGACTTATGCAGGACTCTCTGAGTGGGAAACTTGCAACATAGTGAGTGGAAAAGATATCCATTTGATGTGGGATTCCCCTCTGTAAGCTGTGAATATATTTTATTACAATTTCTTAATGAATAAGCCGTTTTAGCCTATGGCAGGGCAGAATAGAGAGAGGTGTGAAAACTAAACTGAATGCAGGGAGAAAGAAGGTGGAACCAGGGAGATGCCATGTACCTGTTGAAGGAGAAAGATGGTGGAACAGATCCTTACATGTAATCCACAGTCTCATGGTGATACATAAGTTAATAGAAGTGAGTTAATGTAATGTGTAAGAGATAGCAAAGAATATGCCTAAGCTATTGGCTAAAGAGTTTTGTAACCAGTGTAGTTTCTGTGTGATTATTTGTGTCTGGATGGCCTGGAAATGTAAGCACAGTCTTAGTTTACATAGTGGCACCTACTGTCTGGAACGGATCCACATAAGACCTAAAAACGCTTTTTTTAAAAAAAGAGGACTTTTAGATCCATACATATAGTAGCCACATTTTTTTTTCAGAAAAGCTATGCTTGCTTGTGATGAGCAGAGGCATAAATTCTTTAAGAGCTTGCTTCCTGGTTCATATTGGTAGCATGAATGGCTCTAGCTCTTTAAGAGCCACTTAAGTTAACTTAAGTGTAACTTAAGTTACAGAGCATTTAAGTAGTGTTTGTGAGCAGTGTGCTACAAGTTGTTTAGTCGTGACATAGACCCACTGTATCCCTGGAGCTAGGAAGAAGAGCATGACTCACAGAGCTGGTGGTGAATTTACTTCTGCCATGTTGAACTGAGAGGAACCCAAAGGCAAAGCTGCAGTGTTAGTCCCAGCCATGCTGCTTAGCACTTTAAAAAGTACCTCTGGTCAAAAAAAGTATTATAGATAAATAAGGAAGACAGATTCAGATGAAAAAAAATTTTTAAATGGGTCACAGTGTTGAATAAAAGTACATGGCCTTAGGAGAGAGAGAGAAGAAAGAGTACAGACAGTCATAGATAAAAGGAATAAAAACAATAAAATTAATATTATAAAGTAATAGAGTAAAAATAACATGGATTATGTACATTATTGTGATTTTTATTTTGAATTTTTTGACTGTGAATGAGCTAAGTATAGAGAGACATTTCATAGTACGGGTTGCTAAGATAAGCCAACATATGTATTTTAAAGGTATCTTGACTTCAAAAGTCTAAGGTTATGTGACTTTGGAAAAGAGGTTCTGCTTTCATTTTCACAGAGGATGTGAATCTATAGAAGACCTCCTGAAAATTCTATGTGAACGCTAAAGATACTTTCCCCAACAAGCAGCAGGAAAAATTTTGAAGAAAACACAATGCCCAAATTCTCAAAATATTGTTTAAAAATGTTTCTTTTCATTTTAAGGGGAATATGATATAGAAAGGAGTGCTTTACATTGTCTATTGATGCAAATATAAGGTCAATTTTGTTATGTGTATATTTCTACTCTTGTTTAAGGTATTATGTTTATATAGCTCATTTAAAAATGTAATGTGTAGTTAAGAAAAACAGAATGATAGTCATCTGTAATATTCAAACTTTTAATTATGTTAGTCAGGTTTTCAATACATACACACACACATCTATAATGTATATACACACAAGTATATATATATATATATGCTAGATAATCTTTAACACTTCAAAGACCTACAGAATATAGCATTTAAAATGTTTTAAGAACTTAGACTTTCCTGATAGTGAGACATGTCTGTTTCTGTCAGCACCCATTATTTCAGAGGGTGATGGGTATTGAAGAGGCTCTTTATGGAGTTTGCTACCCATTTGTGCAAGAAACTGCTCTTGCCTGGATATGTGATGGTATGCTGTATGAACTGGACATGCAAGACTGACACAAAAATGACTGCTGCACTTGTCTAAAGAAGGTGAGACAGTTCTGCAGGGTTCCTGCTTCATGAAAGAGTCTGCTAGACATTCTGCAAGACCCAGAAGTGATTAATAAACTGTCAATATAGGTGAAACAGTCTTTCAAATTTCTGGCTTCATGGAAAAGTCTGACAGATACTATGGACTTGCAGGCTGAAAATGGATGCCTCAATGTTACAGAAGAATATTGGTTGATTAGGCAGACAGTAAGATTTATCTGTCAATTCTAGAGTTTTGGAAGTTGGTTACAATGTATTTCCTGTCTACTTACATAATATTATATATTTCCGGGGTTTTTGATAGTTATAGCTTTCCTTATTATCATAAAAGACAAATTGGATATGAAACTTTAGACTCATAAAGATAAGATAGATGATAGAATATTTTCTTTAATTTTTGCCTTATACAAATAGACTAAATATTGTAACTCTAATTTTTACTTGATAACTCTTTTGTTATATGTAATTTTAGTATGTTAAAGTTAAAACCTTTCTTTTTACTTAGGTATAAAAGGGGAAATGATGTGGGATTCCTCTCTATATGCTGTGAGTATGTTTTATTACCATTGGTTAACTAAGAAGTCGCTTTGCCTGTAACATACAATATAGCAAGGCAGAAAATCCAGGAATAGAGACAGAGGATGAAATTTCACAGCACTGAGTGTCTTTATACAGAAATTAGAGAGGGCTCATATTAGTAACTAAAAACCTGATAGCTCTAAAAATAAAATGAACACACATATCCCAGAGGAGCAGAGGACAGCAGGCAATAGTAAACTGACTGGTAAAATCTATAAAATAGAAACAAAAAAAACAATACAAAGAACCAATGAAATCAAGAATTGGTTCTTTGAGAAAATCAACAAAGAGACAAACTGTAAGTGTTATAGCTGTGAAGAGGCAGACACTCCAACCCACCTCAACTGAGTGATGAAACTAAGCTTTTCAGTACAAAGGGTCCCATATTTTTCCAAAGACAAAGGCTGTATTATTGATTAATTGTTCTGTCTTCCCCTTCTATCTTCCCTTTGAACCTGGAGTGGCCTTTGGACCACTGATCAGTTCACTATTGAATTAATGCTGCACAAATTTGATGAAGGGGAAAACACTCTACTACTTGTTCATAATATCACAGAGAACCTTTGATACTTTTTCTTTGTTTAAAGGGGTAAAATTGTTAACAGAAGTGAAACTGTGTGAAATGTAGTAATGACTAATAAAAGTACGATGGGTCATATTCAGTGGACAGGTGCCAGGACATAAAGCAACTTTTTTGATGGGCTTAAGAGACTTCATAGGAAGGTCCTACAAGGGAGGCACAGAGGAGAAAGTTACTTCAGGCAGCTG